CCTATTCCCACCGTGCCGCGGTGCCCATTCCCACCGTGCAGTGGTGACTTATCCCACGTACCACGATGCCTATTCCTGAAATACCAAGTCACAGGTTCCAGCAATCTATGTTTCCTTTGGAAATACCGCAGGAAAGACTACAATCGGTTGTTCCAGAGTCCAGGTACCATTGTTCCGATACAGATCTGGCATAGATGAGCACTAACAGCTGGAGAAGTGACTGTCTTTATTCATCGACATACTCAGCGAGTGATTCCATGTTTTTTTCCTAACAGGCCGCAGACACGTCCATACCTCAGACACGGTAATGAATTGGGATGATCACATGGGCTCTGGATATTCCACTTCTTCAGAGCACGTTAAAAACACACAGAATAGGGATTGGCCATTCAGACCCACCTAACAACACTACAACTGATCAAATAATTACTTGCCACTATTTTAACAGCGCAATGGGACGGATGCCCATACAAACAGGGTACCCAGATATTGAACCTCTCGGGGAAATGTCCAAATCATCATCCAAACATGAGCAACGCTTTCATTTAAATCGGTACATTAGGAATCTTTCCCAATTCCTGGCTGTTTTCGCTGCAAATAGGTGCAAGAGTTAATTATCCCAAATGATCAGTACATTAAATATTTACGGCCTGTGAGGCAATTTGATAAAACATATATCCCATTTAAGACTGAAGCATATTACTGGGAAGGAAGAGTGACGCATGAGTCAGCTAGGGATTAGTCTGTTCTCCAGTATCGTCCAACACAAGGACAGGTCGCCCTTTAATTCAAATGGGTCCACTTACAGAAAAACTTAAATTATCTGTGGTTCCGGTTCACAAATCAGTTGTTAGGCTAAAGATTTGAGCTCTGTCAAAAATTCAATCTAACAATTCATTTTTAGGGCTCCTAATCATTCAAGCTTTGGAAATAGTGCAAACAATCAACAGCCTGAGCAAACCCACCTAATGATAACATTTGCTTCCAAACAATACGATGCATTTTCCCAGTTCTGGATGTAGAAACATTTGCCTTAAATAGTTTTGTTTTTATACACAGGAATAAGGATTACTCCCCTCCCCCCCAAAAAAAGTGGAGGGGAGACCCAGTAGAGAGAAACATACCAAGGCAAGCTAGTTTACTCATTAATTCTATTATACTGATGGTTCATTTTTATGTGTAGCGAGCATTCACCTCAATCATTCCACGCACAAGTCTGAGAGAATACATGGACATTTGTTTTTTTTTTGCAAAGGAATTATCAGGTCAAAATACATATCCCTGCATCGCGTATTGTCCTGAACAGCTGCGTCCCTCACACTTTCTGCACATGTTCTTGTATGGATTTAGTCAGTAGCTTACTCAAACATGACTTCCCTCTCTCACGTTCACACTTTCCAACTACTCATACTGTCCTGGAGCCAGAGGCTGCTCTGCTACCTAAACGTCTACACTCTCCGAGAGGCGACAAACAGTCTGTATTCCGAACGCAGGACAAAACCATTGTGAGAATAATTTCCAAATGTTGAAACCGAGCAGCCATTTAACAGCACATCCTGTTTTCACATGTTTGCAGGCAGCACTCTGCTGGCTTGTATTTCCCCATTGTGTGGGAAAACTATTGCAGCAGTAATTCTAACCGTACGATGCAGCAACAAAGCTAACGGGTAAGAAAATGTGGGTAACAACAGTAACTCTTGTTTGTTCCAAGTGGAGGCTTATATAACAACCACCAAGCTTTACACGTTTTTCCGAAAAGTCAGACAAATGTGCAGTCGTTGTGGGCTTGTGTGGCCACATTACATCATCAGAGAGACTGCTTACTTTCAGATTAAAAACGGAATTGAACTTCCATTTTTCACATGAGACATTAAACCAAACTCCATCCAAGATCTCAAGTAATATTCAAAGAGGACAATTGAAACAGCTAACCAATAAAAACAGAAACTGAACCAGTCGTATGAATATTGTGGTAACAAGTGTGGGTGGCACGGTGGCTCAGTGGTTAGCACTGCTGCCACAAAGTGCCAGGGACCTGGGTTACATCCCACCCTCCGGCAACTGTCTGTGTGGAGTTTGCACGTTCTCCCCGTGTCTGCGTGGGTTTCCTCTGGGTGCTCCGGTTTCCTCCCACAGTCCAGATGTGCAGGTTAGGTGGATTGGCCATGCTAAATTGCCCACAGTGTTCAAGGATGTGTAGATTAGGAGGAAGGGTCTGGATGGGATGCTCTGAGAATCAGTGTGGACTTGTAGGGCCGAAGGGCCTGTTCCCACACTGTAGGGATTCTGTGATTCTATTCTAAGTGCAGGTCAGATGCTGGCAGTCTAGGGTGAGTAACTCATCTTCCTATACTCAGTTTCTGTCCATCATCTAGAAGGCACAAGCCAGGAGTGTAACAGAATTCTCTCCACTTGCCTAGCTCCAACAACACTCAAGTTAATTGGGAATATGGAATTTGAAATGCAAACAGAATCAGCTCTGATCCTGGTGAACGGGGAATTAGTTTTGACAGGTCCTATTTTGCAAGTTCAAGTTGGTGAAAGGACACACTACTATTCCAGCCGGACTCTTCAAACGATAAATAAACAACCAAAAGTAAATTAATCCCTCAGGACCAAAAGCTTGGTCAATTGCAGAATTTAAATTCTCTTAAGGATAAAGAGAAT